ATCCAGAGAAGCTAGAACCATCAATTAATCTCTATGTTGAAAATCAGGCAGACCCAGCAATGCGACTTGTTTCTGAGATGATGATACTCTGTGGGGAAGCTATAGCCTGTTTTGGCTCTTACAATAACATTCCATTACCATATAGAGGACAGCCCCAATCGAGCATTGATGTATCTGCATTTGCACATCTTCCAGAAGGACCAGTTCGGAGCTCTGCCATTATCAGAATAATGCGTGCTGCTGAAATTAATTTCAAGAATCCTGTACGCCATGGTGTTCTTGGGCTTCCTGGTTATGTTCAGTTTACTTCTCCTATTCGTAGATATATGGACCTCCTTGCTCACTATCAGGTGAGTCTCGTTGAGTTATAATTTTTTTTTGAAATAAATCTCTTTGAGTTACAATATTTTTTTTAAAGAAAAAAGTATAATAAACTATAAAAGCATCAAAAGAATGCAGTTTGTATAAAAAAATATTTATATGTAAGTAGGTCCCCTAAATCTTCACAAGAATAAAGAGGATAACCCTTAATAAATAAAAAATAAAAAAAACCTTAGGGTCTAGAATCAAGCATTTTTAGTACTATCAAAAGCAATTGTGTACCATCAAAAGCTCTCCTATTCCACTCTTTCCATATACCACAAGAAGTACCAAAAAGGATAAGACATAATTGCTTGTTGTAGTGCTTATCCCCATGAATACCTCTCCATGCCCATAACTCCTCTTTGCCCTTTTGAGCACAACCCTATTTACCCTAACAAAATGTAAGCCAAACACCACAAATTATAAGACATAGGACTATAGTAGAAGATTATTGACTGTATCTCTGTCCCCTATACAGATAGTATCCATTCACAATAACCTTTCCTCTTTTTATGAGATTGTCTATGGTTAAAAGACAACTCCTTGCAGCTGTAGCACTCCCTGCAAGGAGTTTCAGGACCTTGTAATTCCTAGAATGCATGTCATCACGCACTAGCATCAGTAGGGGTGCCTTTTGATTATTTTCCTCTGTTTCACTAATATTATTTTTGAGGGCAAACTATAGTTTCATATGTAGTCTAGTCTTATTCTAATTCAAAAACCAGTGAATTGTTTTATGATAACTCAGTACCTTTGGCTTATTTGTTTGTATTTATTTTAAATAAACCCATTACCTTTTTAGTTTTCATCTTATAAAATTTGTTTTTTTTCTTTTGGTTTTTGTTCTTGCTTTAAATTTTCGTCACTTTATCCTTGAACTTCTGTGTGTACATTTTTAGAAGTTGATGAATATGTCTCCTGAAAGACAAAATATTTTGTGAAATTACAAAAAGTCAAACCATAGATACAGAATTATCGTGGAATAATCACATAGTTTGAATTTGAATAATGCCAAGCCAATGAAACTATAATTTGTCTTATCTTTACATTTCAACTAAGGCAGTCTCCTATAGTCAATTGGCTGAATAATATTGTGATTTGTATATTTTTCTGAGAGATAATTATATTATTTTATTCATTCTATTTCATTACTTATTTTGGTTCAGTTTATTATGATAATTTAGTAAATATTTTGGAAAGAGAGAAATATTTGACCTTGCTGTCCTTAGGAATTTTTTCTCTCACCAGGTTCGTGCATGAGTGGGTTTGAAATGTTTATTAAAATGTGCTTATTTCACGCAGGTGAAAGCATTTTTAAGATGTGATAGTCTTCCGTTTTCATCTGGTCAACTAGAAGGGATAGCATCGATAGTAAACATGCGGGCAAGAACAGTAAAGAAACTCAGCAGCAGCAGCCTTCGGTATTGGATATTAGAATTCTTGAGAGGACAACCAAAGGAGAGACGGTATCGGGCATTAATTCTCAGATTCATCAAAGATCGGATAGCAGCCTTATTACTTGTTGAGGTAACTTATTAATTCTTTGCAAATTGTTTCACTAACACAAATAACATTGACTTATGGACTATAAATTGTTTAATTGTGCATTGGTTGCTTTTTATT